TGGAGTAAATAAAAGAAGGAAAGGAATGAGGTGGAATGGAGTAGAGTGGCGTGAAATGATGGCCAGGAGTTGGAAGCTGTTGACACTGGGTCCTATCAGTTCAATGCACCGTGCTATCTAGTTTGTGTATGCTTTCAATGCCGTGCCTTGTTTTATTAACACATATTAATTATGCAGTAATGAGATTCACATTGATTTTCACATACACAGTGAGTATTGATCATATCCATTCACCCTCTTCCACCCTCACCATCCCTGCCATGACACCCTTTCCAGCCCCTACTAAGCACTATTCTAATTTTCAGGATGACTTTTTAAAAGAAATGCCTACATATGAGAAGGAACGTGTAAAACCTGCCTTCCTGTGTCCCGTTATCCCAAGTTACAGCATCAGGAACAAATGCCACAGCCACTAACATTGCTACCATAAACTCTACTAAGATTTCAATGTATCATCACATTCGATTCTAAAAACAAAGTCCTAAATAAAAATAACTTTTAAGGAAGATGGTGTTGTTACCCCTGTTTCACAGTGAGAAAGCAGCAGAGGGTTCGAGTCATTAAGTGACTTGCCTAGGGAAATACTGCCTGGAATGTCAATCAGTTTTTCTTTCCTTACTGTGAGGGATGCCTGAGACGAACAATTGAAAGGGGGAAGGCTTTCCTCTGGCTCGCAGCTTCAACAGCTTTGGTCTATGGTGGGCTGACACCATTGTCTCTGGGAAATGGTAAAGCAGAGCATAGTGGCTGAAGGGTGTGGTCACACAGAGATGCTCACTTTGTGGAGGACAAGAAGCAGAGAGAGTTAGGGAAGTGAGAAGGGACTAGAGACCATGTGTAACCTTCAAGAGTACATGACCAATGACCCATCACCCCCAGCCAGGCCCCACCTCCCAATACCCTGCTCAGCTATGAACTCATGGATGAATCAATCTGCACCCTCAATCAATTAACACCCTCATGCTCCGATCACCTCTTGGTGGTCGTCTCCACCAATGGGGACCAAAACCTACAGGTCAGTCTTTTGTGAGGACACTCCACATGTGAACTGTAACAGAATTCTACCCAGGACTGTCCTGTTGACCTCCGGAAGTGTCTGCCTCGGTATTTGCACTCTTTCCAACTTCCTTTCCCTACAGATGGTGCTGCAGGGGTACCTCTATGGAATTTGCCTCTCCTGTCTGTCTGACCCTGCTCCAGAATTAAAGATGTTTTTAATTGGGGGTTTCCCCCCATGTTATTCATTTATTTCTGTACCTCTGGTACCTAGAACAAGAATGGCATAATAGACTCCATTGATATTTGTTAGATGGATGAAGAGAAAGACAGACCATTGTATGGAGAGATGGAGTGGGAGTAATTCCCTAAGATGGATCCAGAAGTCTTTAGCTGTTGCTCCCAGAGACCACACAGTTTAGGACAGTAGCTGTCAACTTCAACTGCATATTAGAGTTTCCTGGGGACTTTTAAGAATAGTAATGGGGAGGGATTGCATCTGCAGATAGTGAGATTTCACAAGCCTGGGTGTGGTCCAGCCTCTCCCTGCCCTTGTTTCCTCTTCCACATTTACAACCTCTAGAATTTTAATCCAAGTTGTTATTTTTAATGATCCACTATTACTCATTTTTAACTCTAAATTTTACTCGTCCTTTGCATGCCATTTCGTTTCTTCTCCTGATGTCGTCTTCCATTCATCATTCCTGTTTCTAGTCTTTTTTTTTTTTTCAGATAGATTATAAACGGCATGATTCTGAGTCCTCAATACCTGAAAATATCTTTGCCCTCCAGGGCATTTCAGGTTTGGTATGTAATTCTCACTTTAAATTGTTTTCCCTCTGGAGCCTGGGATATGTGGCTCCTTGTATTCTTGAACTCCGTATTGCTCACACTTGCTATTTTATGAAGAATCCATTTCTCTATTTCTCATTTGCTCTTCCTGAAAGGTTTTATTCTCTCTCTCTCTCTCTCTCTCTCTCTCTCTCTCTCTCTCTCTCTCTCTCTCTCTCTCTCTCTCATTCTCTCTCTTTCTCTGTGTGTGTGTGTGTGTGTGCATGTGCGTGTGCGTTCATGTGCGTGTGTGTGTGTGTGTGTGTGTGTGTGTGTGTGTGTGTGTGTGTGTGTGGTGTGTGTATCCACAGTGTTCTAAAATTTTTCTATGCTCTATCTGAGGATTACTGCATTTTCTAGTCAGTATGTTGTGTTCTCCTGTAACCCTCGATAACAACAATAGTTATAATATGAATGTGAACGGCTGGCACTGAGTTCTATCACACTCCAGGTTATGCTAAGTCCTTTGTGTGCACAATACTTCCCATGGCACTATACTGGTTCCAGCCTGATGTCGACTCTATACAAGAGGAAACTGATACGGAGAAAGTAATCCTCTTCTAGCTACGAGTTACTGTTACTGCTTTTAGAATTGCCTCCATTCTTTTTCTCTGCCAAGTCCCGTTCATGCAGCATTGGTCACTGGAGATCCTCTGACACCCCAAGAAGCATGCTAGGATGCTATTGGAAACATGCGTAGCTGAAAAGGCCCTGGTTCATACAGTACCCTCTTTCTAGAGTCATAGCCCAGGGCACAGTGTATGACCTGTCACACACAGCTTGAATCTGAAGTGTACTGTACAGGCTCCTATGTTTGGACACTTGCACCCCAGTAGGTGGCCTATTTAGGGGGTGGTGGAAGGTTTAAGAGGGAGGTGTAGCCAGCAACCTTTGCTCTATCCCACCTCCACTTCCAGTCCTGTCTCTGGTTCCCATTGGTCAAGATGTGAGCACCTGCCACACTACACTCCCACCATTGTGGAGTTATCTGCTCTGCCACACTTTCCTCTCCTTCATGATGGCCTGCTCTGCTGGAACCTAATAAAATAAAGAAACCTTCCTCCCTTCAGCTGCTTCTGTCAAGTATTTTATCATAATAACAAGAAAATTAACGAGCAGCATTTGGCCTTCAGAGGCCCCCACACCCCACTTGGCCACAAATGACCGATGAGTACAGGTGCGCACCTGACTCCAGCCAAGCTAGTCAACACCTTTCCCCTCCCGAAGTCTAAACTGTGAAAAAAGATCTTTAGCTTATGTAACCTTCACCCTGTGATGAAAGCCACCACGTGGTTCAGTCTGTTGTGAAAGATAAGCTTTAGGAAGTTTTCTTACCAGTGGTGAATTCTGAGGCAATCCATCCCTGGAGTTCACAGCTTGACCCCTTATCAAGCTACAACTCTGGCCATGCTTTGGCCTTGATTCCCTGCACTGCCTTCCTGGAGCCTTATATCTGGCCAGACAGTGAACTTTGGATCCTTAGAAGTAAGCCTTGACCTGCTCATAAGTTACATAGAGCTGAACTCTGACCCCAACAACACACCAAGCCCGCCCCCCACCCCCAACATCTCAGGAGCATGCATCATTGTTACAACTGTTCCATGGTATGAGAGCAGGTGGCCTTCCACCCTGTGGGTTTTATATTTACATCAGGTTTCCTGTAGCAGCAGTCATATCAGCCCCTCCCCACAAGGCACCAAGGATGACCAGGCCCTGGAACTGCCCCTACCATACCAGGTCCAGAACATGTTTCTCAGTGTGAAACCCAAATGCCCAGATGAACTGCTGTCTGCTGTTCTTTGACCTGAAGGAACCCAGCATGAACAGGCCGTGTAGGTGCTGGGGATCTGTAACTCCAGATCCAGAAACTCTGTCTTCTGGCCTCTGTGGGCACTGCACACACATGGTGGACACACATAAATGCAGGCAAAGTACTCATGCACGTAAAATAAAAATACATCAGCCTTAAAAGCAAACACAAAACCCAAGCAAGCCACACTGGTTGCAATCTTCCACAGAAGGGATGGGATGTGTCTTTAATCACTGGGAGCACCTCGGATTCATACCTCTGACTCTCTGCTCTGTGTGCCAATAGTGTCTTGCCTCCCAGCACTTCTACAAATCCCCCTCTGTCCCCATCTTGACTTCCCTTGGTGGGAGCTGCTCCCAAGGCCAAGCCAAGCTGCGGAAGTCACATAGTGCACAATAGTGGTTTCCATTGTTGGGTGGGGCTTGCATTAAAGAGATACTCTTTCCATTTTCAAATTCCCTAAGGGGAAAAAGGATGTTACTGGTGAGGTTCCCCGCCCCCCATTTCATCACCCTCCCTCTTCCTCCCCGAAACTCATCAAAAACTCTCAAGACCCCCAACACAAGCCTGTGGCTTCCCTTTGGCCCTCGGATGAAGCCCTGCTTGTGGTCCTCTGATCCTCTCATTATCCACCCTAAAGTACCCCATGGCACCCTGCTCATCCAAGGTGGAAAGCAGTTTATTTCTCCTGCAGGCTGTTTGCCCCAGGCTTGGGGTCCCTGTGTGCAAACCTTCCTGGAAAGGAAGTGACGGCTTTATTTCTTTAAAGTCCTGTCACTTCACACTGTGGGGAGTTGGGACGGTTATAATTATACATTGCAAACTGAAGCTGTTATTATATCAAAGCATCACCCAAAACCTCAGAAACGTGCTGTGACATCTCAGGACTCTTTTCCCCGCTGGCTCTGGTGCAACTCTGAAAGGAAGCTGACCTTTTCCTTAGCCGGATTATAAATGTCAGATTCGCACAGCACCATCCTTCAATTACCGTCACCTTGAAAGGGGAAAGCGCTGGAGGCCTCACACTTAAGTATTTTCAATCACAGATATATTTCAGCACTCCATCTCCTCGGGAGAGGAGAGGAACGCTGAGGGGCGGGTGCAGCCTCACAGTGGCCCCGCGCCATGTGCAGTGGCCCAGAACATCAGCCACTTAAAGGATGATTTGGGAATGGATCAGAACCACCCATCCAATCACCTCCCATCCCATCCAACTAAAGATTTGATTTTTCTTCAACTGCTATTTCCAGAAGCGTCATGGGACAAAGACGCCTCCGCTGTGTATCTCCTAAATGCAGATAATTGTAGATCTCGCTTTTCCCTTTACAAAATCATGTTTTTATTGTCCGTCTTGAAATAACAGGAGGAAAAAAAAAAGCTTCCCTTCTGGTCACGTTCCTGGTCCTCATTCAAAGTCTTCACTCAACAAGAAGGCGGAGAGGGCTGAGTCCATTAAGAAGAGGAAAGCAATCCAGCACTCAGAGCTGGTATGATCCCGGGGTATTTATAGCACATGAGCAACAAATTAGCATCTTCACGTGTTAATTTCTCCCTTTGTCTCCTGGAACCTGTATTCACAGAGGGGAGTTTCCCCCCTTTTTGCTTAATTAACAATATTATTATTATATTTTAGTTATGACAAAATGTTGACAATCAATATAATCCTCTGGTGGTGGTGGTGGTGGTGGTGGTGTGTATGCGTGTGCGCACGCGCGCGTGAGTGCCTGTTTAAGAACATTCTGAGTCTGAACTGAGCTGGAAAGTCTGGCCCATCTCAAAGAAGAGAATTACAAATTTCCTGGGTCTCTCCAGGATGCCTGGCTTCTTCCTGGTCAAGCTCGTCACTCAGTCAAGTGTCTTCTTCCTACTTACAGTTCAATAGTGCCAAGCCCTATGGCCTTCAGTACCATCAGAGCCAATGGGCAGCTGACCATGAGCCTCACCAGCTGGTAGTTGCCCTATATGTCAGCCTGTCGTCCTCAGGCACAGGGCAGTACGCACCCCTTTCTTGAAATCCTAGTGGCTCTGCTTCTTCAGCCCCAGTCCCAGAAAGTGGGTCTGAGACTTTTAGGGATGAGAAGGTTTTCCAGGTGGAACAGTCACTTATCTTAGACCTATTCTCAAAATGAGGTGCCTTTCTCACCTTTCACGGGTTGACATGGTAACTGGCCAGAGTCCATTGAAAAGGATCAGAGAGAAGATGCATGCACAGGCCGTGAGCCACACCCAGCAGGGGAGCAAAGTGCAGGGCTGCACCCAGGTTTATACAGAATCCTTTTCTGTTTGAGATCAGAGCAGTTTCCAAGATGGCAGGTTTCTTTAGAATCTAAAGTTCTCAACCTGTGGGTCACGACCCATTTGGGGGTCCCCTATCAGATATCCTACATATTGGATATATACATTACAATTCATAACAGTAGCAAAATTACAGTTATGAAGTAGCAGTAAAAATAATTGTATGGTTTCGGGTCATCACAACATGAAGAACTGTATTAAAGGGTCATAGCATTAGGAAGGTTGAGAACCACTGCTCTAGTTGAGGACAAAGGTCTTATTCTGTGCACTTCTGCAGGCCCACCCCCAGATGCAGACCCTGGCCATGGCTTGTCATGAAGTCATGAAGAGATGATCACCTTCTGACAAACACATCAGCACTCCCTCTGGGCAGGTATGTCTGGCATTGTTAATGGGTTCACACTGCCCATAAGAGGCTAAGGATAGGCTGGCTGGACAGACTGCTGATAGGTTTGCCACAGCCGCTTCTGTAATCCAACTCAGGAGCCAGGTTTATCATCAGGTATGGGCAAAGCTAGTCCACGCTGGTCCTTATGACTTCTCCTGGCATCTGGCCCCAGCTGTGACTCTGGCCTGTATTAGAGGCCACTTTGATCTCTGCCCAGTTCCAGCTCTTTCTGGAGCCTTCACACGAGTTCCTACTGCACATTAGTGATATCGCCCCTGCTGACTCTTTCCTGTCTCCTCTGACTGTTCTGCCCAGGAAACCATCCACCCAAACCTGAAACCTTAGGTCAACGGAACTTGTGTCTCCCCTCCCTCATGATTGCAAGAAAATCCATGAAAAGACATCAGGAATCCAACTGCATCTAAAATCTCTTCGGTCTGTGCCTCGGCCCTTTGCAGCAGCCTGTGATTACCTCCCAGCCCCACTCTGTCCCAAACATAGGTCTGAGTCTTTTAAGATTGGGGTCTATTATCTCACTCTCCTACTCCTCTGCTCAAAAGCCTTTCCTTGGCTCCCATTTCCCTCGCATAGGAGCCATGCTTCTAATGGTGCTACAAGCCCCGAAGCACGCCCCCCCAGCACCATCCCACCGCCTCCCTCCCAGTCCAGCAGGTCCCCTTGTCTTCTGACCATCCACATCTCTGGCCATGTGCAGAAGCTTATTTCTGCCTGCTGTCATCTCCCAGATGCTCGCTCCTATGCGTGTCAGGCTTTCCTTGGCAAGCTCTCAGCCCTACTCCCCACAGGCTCTACCCACCTGCTGCTTTCTTTTTCTTCTAATCGTCTCTCACCCTTTAACATACTAAACATTTCCCCTCCCACCAGAATGTAAACCAGATAGGACAGAGACCACCTCAAGCTTTTATGCCTTCATGTCTACTTCATTTGTTTCGTTTTCCTGACAACATTATCAGGAAACTCTTCAAAAGCAAGGCAAGTTGGGAGAATTGCACAAAGAATAACTCACAGATCCAGTAACATTTTGAGACGTTGCTTTCATGCCTTATCTAACAGTGCATCGGCGCTCCAAGCCATGTCTTTCCTTGATGCACTCAAAGCGGTTGCAGACATCGGTGCGCTGCACTGCCAAACACTTCCGCACGTGTGCCAGCCACCGTGTCGATGTTTACATCCAATTCTTTTTCTGCTGGGAGGTAAGGCCTGCACTGAGGGGGAAATGCAAGTCTTAAGTGTATCGTCAACAAGCTCTGACAGATTCAAATACCATGGAATGCAAATATTTACCAGGATGCAGAAAATGGCATTCCCTCCAAAAGTTCCCTCACGGCCCGTCAGTATCAGTCTCCAGAGAGCAGGATCTCTGTCGGCTTCGTTCAGCCGCTGTGCTTCCCTTGCACTCAGGAGAGCATCTGGCACCTAACAGGTGCTCAGGGGGTGCTTGTGGGATGAGAAGACAGTGATCTCCTGCAAGGGGAAACTTCAGAGGAAGTCCATTGGCCCAGATATGGGAGTTGAAGGTTGGCTTCAATCCTAGCCATCTGAGTAAAACCAAAGGGGACTACAAGCCCAAACCAAACAGCCTACCTGAGAATGATGCATTCCAAGGAGCCAGCCCCTTCCATTACCCGCCCAGCAGCAGGTTCTTTCCCGAAGCCAGGCCTGTTCTGCAGAGCTTGCAGACTCTGGATTGAATGAGGCCGACTCAATAGACAGTGAGTGGCAGAACCAAGAAAGCCTGTTGGGAGGGGGCTCAGCCACTCACTGTCTTGACCATCAGCCATCCCAGCAGCTGCAAACATAAGCAATGATGTAGTCATTCAAGACGGCTGATTAAGGTTTGCTCGGCCATATGCAAAAGGTGACTCAAAGTACATTTGAAATGTCTGTAGCTCAACTATGCACAAGCGGAAACAGATTGGCATGTCTAAATCCTTCCTATATAGGAAGTCAGAAGGACACACAGGTAACAATGAACAGAACATATATCCCCTCTGCACACCACACACACATTTGCACACATATTCACACAGGTGCAATCACCCAAAGTTATATACACATGTATACTCACGCACAATCAGGCACATACACATACATACATATATGTACACATGCAAGCACACACATACTTTGCTTTGGTAGAAGAGGCTGTTTCATGTGATGAATAGGAAGAGGTAGCCTCCATTGCTGCAGGTTCAATGAGAAAGCTGGGACAGCAGAAGTGCCTTCAACCACCACTAAAATTCAGGTCAAAAAAAAATGCAGACCCCCAAGAGAAACATGTGGGCCAAGCTAGCAGAGAGGCAACCACAGTGCTTGGAGAGGAAAGAGGTAAACAGGTATGCGTTCCGGGGTGAAGTGGGTTGTAACACTAATTCTAAATGGTCTTTTAATGAAAAATCCCGGTGCCAGATATTGGGGTAAGTGCTGAAAGATAAGAGAGGCAAAGGAATAAGCCAATGCCATATACCACCTCACCAACTCCACAAATCCTCTGACTGAAATCCTCTGAGTCTTCACCCAAAAGTCTCCAGCCAAAAAAAAAAAAAAAAAAAAAAAACCTCTAGTTGAAAGGGATGCTTCTGCCTAAAAGCCTTTAGTTCCTGTCTCCTCATATAACTTTCTCCGCCCAGCCATCACTTCCTGGGATTAAAGGCATGTGGGGTTCCCAGTACTGGGATTAAAGGTGTGTGCCACCACTCTCTGGCTCTGTTTCTCCCCTAGACTGAGTCAATCTCATGTAGTGCAAGGTGACTTTGAACTCACAGAGGTCTAGACGGATCTCTGCCTCCCGAGTGCTAGGATCAAAGGTGTGTGCCACCACTGCCTGGCCTCTATGTTTAATCTGATGGCTTGTTCTGCTCACTAATCTTCAGATAAATTTTATTAGGGTACACAATATATCGCTACAGTGGGTGCCAGAGACTTTTGCAGAAGAAGGCTTTGGGGACAGAGGGTCATACATGGGGGCTGCCCTATGCAGAACTGAAAGTCTGGACCATGAAAATGGAGCTGGCATGGGCTCATTGCATGGAACCTGAACTCAGAGCATCAACAGACTGAGAATTTCATTTGGGATCAACTCAGTGAGCATTCCCGGATAAGCGTTCTGTCCACATGCTGGTAGCCACCACTAAGGTATCTGTGCCTGGTTCCAGCCTTAGCAGATCCTGATGGAGGTGAAGAGAGAGAACGTAAAGCCATGAAACTGAGAGGCTGAGCTTGGGTGGCACTGTCTTGGACGGCCTAGAATGGGATGCTGGAAAGAGGAACAGTAAGCATGGTGGCTGGCGTAGGGTTAGCTGAGCAAGCCACAGCACCCTTCCTCAGGTGACTCAGCTAATTCCTCATGGAGGACGAGGGGGTCATGAATGGCACAACTCACAGATGAGTATGACCTGTAAACTCTGTCGTGGTATGTATGGCAGGCCTATGTAAGTCTTGGCTAGCCCTTTGGCCAAAAAACTTCCAGGTCAGTGTCAGACTTTGGAAGAACAGGATGGTCTGTAGATTTGGAAGTGAGGTGGTCAGCATACATCAGAATATCTAGGGTATAGATAGTGGGGCTAGAGGTGCACAAGTGATTGTCACAAGCATCCTCCAAGTGCCCCCTCACTCTTCTGGGGCACTCTCCAGTAATCCAGGTCCAGGAAAGAAGGCATTCTTCCTCATGCACTAATTGAGAGGGGGTCAGACATGAGACGGGTGGGGAGAGTCTCTGGGTATCTGTCTCCATCTCCTCCCATCCAAGGCCCTGGCTGCCCTCCCTCAGACAGCTACCATCATCTCTGACCTCTCCCTTTCCCATGTTCCCACACTCCCTCGAAGTAGGTAGAATGAGGAGTCAGAACATTATGAGTCACAACAACCTACCCATGCTTAGAAAACTACAGTCTGGCTAGACTAAGGGAGATAGCCTTACTTCTGCCTGGTTCTCCATGTCCCCACAACCAGCCACACACACACACACACACACACACACACACACACACACACACACACACACACACACACACACATACATACATGCGCACGCACTCTCTGAGCCTTCCACACCCTCACTGCCTGCTGTTTCCTGGGCCAGCAACTAGGCCACACTCTCTCACAGCTTCTTGCAACCACCCTTCTAGCCCACCCCATCTCAAAAGCCTCTGAGACACTACCCTCTCTCCTGCTCTCATGCATACATCCCATCTCGACCTTGTACCACACTGGTCTGTACCCAGGATTTATTTCCTCCTTGGATCCCTTAACATTATTCTTTGAGAGTAAGTCCCTCATCCTAGGACTTAACAAGTGTGGGTTGAACAAACCCTTCAAAGGCTTTTGCCTGTGGTGTTGCTGGTGTATCTGAGCTGTCTTCTGTCTTGGGACTTTTTGAAGGACCATCTAACACCCACCACACACTGAGCAAAGAACCTGGAGGGGAGGGAGAACCATCAGAGTGGGAGTCAGGCAGGGCAGGCCATCCTCCCTGTCTGCTTTTCCCAGCTCCCCTTGAGAGGCAGAGGGCAGAGGGCAGTCACTGGGCAGAACTGGCATCACCCTGGACCCTGTGGGAGTTGGTGCTGTCCTTTATTGAGACTGTGCCCCTCCACAGGGACCTGCCTTTGCAGCCACCCACTCTAAAATATGCTCTGCGTATCTTCAAAGGCCAGACCCTCCTGTGGGCACCTAGACTGCCCATATCCCTGACCTTTCCGTTCTCAGACCTCAGGCGCATGAGAAGGCAGGGTTGCATGAATGCCACTTTCGCTTCTGTTAGCTGTTCCATGTTTAGCCCAGTTGTCTCACTGACTCCATAAGGCCAGGATCTCCTCTTTCTTGATGGTCTTTAAGTATACATTCCTCAGGGTGTGCGTGTGCGTGTGCGTGTGCGTGTGCGTGTGCGTGTGCGTGTGTGTGTGTGTGTGTATGTGTGTGTGTACATGGGGAAGAGTTAAAAAATAAAGCCCTGAGATTTGAGGGTCCATATTCATTCAGTTATTTTTCTTAATTATAGTGCACTCAGAATAAAAGAATACAGCCATGTGCCCTCTTCCCATGGACAGCCTTCCACAGTGGCTACAGCAAGAGAGTGGGCATAGCTCCCTGGATGGCCCCCAGGCTCACAAAATACCACGCCCCACAGTCAGCCCCGTGCTCAAGAAGAAAACTGTGAAGTAGGCATGCTAAAACAACACCCTATTAAATTAATGCTTTTAATTTGAATTTTATTGATTTTTTAGTTCACCATTCTATAATTTGTCCATTTGTTTTGCTTTTCTAGTCATCTGAGAGCCATCAGCGGAAGGAATTTACTCCAGCTATCCTGTGGGGACAGATTTTAATAGCACTAGCATAAAAGTCCTTGGGGAGGTGGGGGAAGATTCTTGAAAGAATTTTTATTTTAAACGAGGGATTTGTATGGCTCGGGTTGGAGAAATGTTTTCTCCACTGTGAGACTTCTCAGGACAAGGTCAGAAGCTCTCAGCTTCTCCCAGTTGCTGGGAAATCTGCCCATGGTTTCCCTTCTTTTAACGATTCTGTTGTTGATGTCCGTTAGCTCGTGTGTTCCTTTGGTTTGGAGTTCTTGAGGTGCTCTACAGTGCTCACAAGAAACCTAAGGGGGAAAGCGATGTGAAGCCACCATGGTGGGTCATCGTCCTGAGAACAGGAAAGGCGGGGAATATCACAGGAGAGTCCCTGCAGAGACTCTGCCCTGAAGCGGTCATCCCAGCCGGGGCAGCCCTTTCTCTCACTATCTGGTGGTGATAAACACAACCACACTGAAGAAATTCCTCTTCTTTTTCTTTCCCTCACAAAACAGAGATGCAGTGGGAGACTCCAGGCAGGGTGACTAAAGCTCTTGGCAGAGCTGACAGTTCCCAAGCAAGCAGCACAGAACCCACTTAGTTCCCACTTGCCCTGATTTTATATTCTAATTGGTACATAGGGCAGTGTGCAAGGCCAATAGGAAAAAATCACACACACACACACACACACACACACACACACACACACACACACACACACACACACTGCATCAGTAAAGCACTTGAAGACACAGCTGCAGCCCACCAACCTGGGAAAGTCATAAGGCATACCTGAGATTTGACCTCCCTGACATCCCTCTACAGACTAGCCCCTTGCTTTTCCTGACTCCCACCATACCCCAGCTGCAGTCTGGGGGACTGAAAGGGGGACACTTGTACTACTGCTACATCTCTCTTTGGAATGTTTCCCACCCTCTACAGGCTGAATGAAGCCTGCTTGTCTTTTAGCACTGAGATGGTATGTCACATCCTTTCAGGCAACCGTCACTGATCCCTGCCAAGACTGGAATGAGTACCATTCCTCTGCTCCCCACTAGTACCCCACAGGGACCCATACTTCTCAGTGGTGCCCTGTGGTTCGAGTGCTTATCTCCCTACTAGACTGCAGATTCCTTAGGCCAGATCCCCAGGCTCCTCAAGAAGCCCAGACCTGCACACAGTGTCTAGTGCATATCCAAATACTCTGAGTACTTCCAAGTATGTGGAGAGAAGAAGACATACAGAGCTTACTCTATCACTGCAGGGAGAGCTTGGCAATGACCTTGTGTGTCAGCTGTCCACTCCCTTCCGTGTTTGTTTCATCCCCCAGCTGTTGAGCACTCCACTTTCTGCTGTAGGCTGTGACTTTGGGGGGATTTATTACATTTCTCATTATGCTACATTCCGCTTCATTTACTACCTTTTCAGATATATGTGTGTGCAGGGAGGGCAGGAGTTGTGCACATGAGTGCAGGACAAGTGGAGACCATCATATGATACTCTGGACCTGATAAGCTGCTGCTGTCAGCCACCCAACCTGGATGCTGGGAATCAAACCGTGGTCCTCTTAACCACTGAGCCACATCTCCAGCCCTGGGTTTTGACTTTTTCACACCCTTGAACAAGAGAGGACTTCAGACAAAGGCCTTAAGGCTGACATTGGTCCTAATCCCCTGGCTGTCGGGCCTCGATCAAACTCAGACCTGTCTGATCCGGGACCCAGAGCAAACATCTAAGTGCCCACTTCCCCCTCTAGTGCATATGGCCTGAGATGCAGAAAGAGCATCAAGGGCCCTAGCCCACTGGCAACTGCCACTGCCATTGTATAGGTAGCCTTTCTTGGGCCCATCTCATCACTGGATACTTACACCCCAGCTTCTCGCCAGAATGGGACCTGTGGAGAGGTTTGTCAGCCCAGCACTGTCAGGGCCCAGCTTAAAAACCTAGTTGTCCAAAGCAGACTCATCGGAGCTCCCAGGATGAGGACACTCAGATGCTTCACTACCTCCCCTGCTCTGTGCCTCGCAAACTGCCTCCTGTCAAAACAGGAACTCCGCATCCCCCGCTATTGGGATATATGAACCCCAAAGACCACACCTGAAGGCAGTGAGGCTCACTCTGCCCATGGAACAGGAAAAGGCCAGGCCGGGATGGGGAGGTCTCCTGTCCAGCCTTCTCTTCCCTATTTGTTTGTGGCACTCAGCCCTGCCTCCCACTTTCCAACTATGACAGTGGGAGAAAAAAAATCTTCAATTCAAACTGTAAACGCTGGTTTCTCTCTGCCTCTAACATTCCACCCGAAAATGAACCATAATTTGAAACACGCAGTAAAATGTAATCTTGGCTTTTTAGCACTCAGACTCCTTCATTTTCAAAGAAAGCCAATGGCTGGGAGATTGGATTTTGTTTTTGCCAATTATACATTTTTGCCTCGAAAGCTGCCTGCAGTACAAAAAAAGAAGTGAGGGCGTCCATGCTTTGAAGATGAATCATGTTCAAAGCTGGCGTTAGAACCCGTCATGTTCATAACCCCGGTCTTGAGACAAATGCACTAGTCATTACTGAGAACGCAAACGACAGCATGGAGTTATGACTAGCGTTTGTTCACCGCAGTAAAGAATGTCCTCTATTAATGACAACAGCTGTCGGCTTAATAACCCCGGAAAAGATCATTACATTCCTTCACATTTCCCAGAAACAGATGGAAGAATTGCAAGAAGGTCCAAGCATATGGGAAAGCAGGTTGGATTCAGCAGCTCCAAAGAGCAACCAGAAATCCCATCTTCATTGGGTCATTCTGGCCACAGTACTTGTGGGTGCCCAAGAAGAAGCAGGTATGCTCCTGGCCTTGTGGGAGACATGAAACGTGGTGGGAGTGGTGGAGAGACAGGTGAGCCCTCAGTAAGCCAGGCCAGGCTGCAAAATGGCTGCCTGGGTTGTCAGGTTCTAGTGAAGGCTGAGGACAGCTGTGGTCAGCCGCTGTGAGCCCCCACTGTGCCTCAATGACTTCTTATGATAGCATCCACTAATAGACTATCAGCACAGTCAGTCTCCTAAGCACACTCTCACCACACATTTATACCAGTATGTGTACACATGACTGGGATGTCCTTGACCTTCCCCATGCCCACACAGGCAAGCTCCTAAGCCTTGCATCAGTCCACTTACTTCCCTGAAGTGATCACTCATAACCAAAGCCTGGCTTTGCTCTTATATTCAGAGTCAGGAGTACCTGTCCACTTCACATGCCAGCCGGTACAAAAGGGCACTTCCAGACACCCAGGCAATTGTTCTGATGATTCAGCTATGTCCATCCACAAAGAGAGATGGGGCTGTAACTAAGGAGTAAATTCAGAATTAGAACAATCCTTTCAAATTGATAAATAAATAAATGAATGTAAAAGGCAAATGCCATAAGGCCTGGTAGTTTTACTGGTGACTTCTTTTAGATTTTTCCCAGGATGATTAATTCATACACGGTGAGAACTGTTCCCATGCATAGACAAGTACAGAAATACAAGTATCGTATGGAAGAAACCATACAATAAAACCTTTAGTTTAAAAAACTAAAGACCAGGTTCACTTAAGATTTCACATAGATATAAATCCCAAGTATTTAACAGTAAGACAAATTTTAAATTATGTTATTGGATAAATAAGGATCATTGTAAGTTTGTGAGAATGGTTTGATGTTACAAAACCAATTACTTTAAAACACATACATGTTCAATACTAAAAACACTGAAAAAATTTCTGTATTATGATTCTCAAAATAATTGGCTGGTGTTATTAACTGATAGGTTGAACCTGATGCTTCCATGCATACACACACACACACCAAAAAAAAAAAACTGTATACAGTGCATTCCTACCTCTAGAACTCAGAATGTGACCTTATTTGAAAATGAATACTGCAGATACAATGTAGATAAACAATATACAATACTTAATGTAGATAAACAATACTGTAGATACAATGCAGATAAAATGAGGTCATGCTGGAATAAGGTAGGTTCTTTGTCCAGTGTGGCTGGTGTCCTTACAAGAAGGTGGTCACCACGTGAAGACACAGGCACAAGAAGACCACATGAGAACAGACACCGGGTTAGAGCGATGCAGCCTCCGCCAAGGACCGCACAGAAAGCCAGGAGTCCACCCTAGACCAGAAAGCAGTGGGGAAGGACTCGTGCTGTCCTACAGGGGGCACTGGTGCTGCTGAGGCTGTGCCTCAGACTTCTGGCCTCCAGAATGGTGGAACAATACAGCTATGTTGTTTTAAGCTGCCGTTTATGTGACTGTATCCCAACAGCCCTCAGACACAAATGCAGACCATTGAGATGGGGCCCAGCGGCCTTTGGCTGCTCCACAATCCAGTCCGCAGACGCTTCCTACAGCCTGTGAACTAAGAAGCCCTTTAACCTACTTCACACACATAAGCAGAAAGGGGAAGAGAAGGAGGGGACAGAGACTCATCGAGAGGAGCAAGGCAGTAAGCATCACTCCTCCACGGCCTCTTCTTCAGTTCCTGCCTCCAGGATCCTGCCTGATTTCCCTGGATGATGGAGTACAAGCTATAAAATGAAATAAACCATTTCCTCCACAAATTGTGGTGTTTTATCACAGCAATAGGAACCTAACTAAAATACACTGTGAGATTTTCAAGTACAAGACTAACGTAATTAAAGTAGCAGTGTATTGAGAAAACCATCGGCTGCAGATCTGAGGAGTAAGAGGCATCATTCTTACATGGGCTTGTTTAGAACAATAAGGAATGGGTGAAATCAGAAACATCTGAAGTTTATAAGAACAGGAGTAATGGTTTAAACGCTGGGGAAATTTGCAATCTGAGAGTAAAAATTTGCAATCTGAGAGTAAAAA